ACCGGAAGCAACTTCAGAGGTTCCTAGGGTTCGCAAATTTCTACAGACGTTTTATTCGGGACTATAGTAGAGTTGCTTGCCCGCTTACGAGATTGACTTCTGTTAAAGTGCCTTTTGAATGGTCAGTTGAGGCAGAGTGTTCTTTTAATAAGCTCAAGGAGCTATTTTGTTCTGCTCCTATCTTGTCTCATCCAGATCCTTCAGCCCAATATATTGTGGAAGTGGATGCTTCAGACTCTGGGATAGGCGCAGTCCTTTCTCAGCGCTCACTCCCTGACCAGAAGCTACATCCCTGCGCATTCTACTCTCGTCGACTGTCTCCAGCGGAACGGAACTATGATGTCGGTAACCGCGAGCTACTAGCCGTTATCGAGGCTTTAAAGGAGTGGAGGCACTGGTTGGAGGGGACCACACAGCCATTTGTGGTATGGACAGACCACGGGAACTTGTCTTACCTCCGTTCTGCCCGCAGATTGAATTCCAGACAGGCGCGCTGGGCGCTATTCCTGGGTCGATTTAACTTTGCGCTTACTTACCGTCCTGGCTCCAGGAATATAAAGCCTGACGCCCTGTCTCGGCAGTTTGCCCCACCTGTCGAAGACTCACAGAGTGAGACAATCTTCCCTTCCACCTGCATTATTGGTGCAGCTTTCTGGGATGTGGAGAGGATCGTTCGGGAGGCCTCTGTTAATGAACCATCCCCTGAGGGTTGTCCTCCGGATCGCGTTTTTGTGCCTCGTTCTGCCAGGTCGGAGGTTCTTCAATGGGGACATTCCTCCAAGGTCACTTGCCATCCTGGATTTCACCGGACTCTCAAGTTAGTTCAACAACATTTTTGGTGGCCATCTATGTCTGCAGACACCAGAGAGTTTGTTGCTGCCTGCTCAGTCTGTGCCCGCAGCAAGTCTTCTCACCAAGCACCTGCTGGGTTGCTCCGTCCACTTCCTATTCCGCACCATCCGTGGTCTCACATCTCTGTTGATTTTGTGACTGGTCTTCCTCCTTCTGAGGGAAAATCAGTAATTTTGACGATTGTAGACCGATTCTCCAAGTCTGTGCATTTTGTTTCTCTGCCGAAGTTACCTTCCGCCTTTGAGACCTCTAAATTACTCATTGAACATGTTTTCAAACTCCATGGCATACCACAAGATATTGTGTCTGATAGAGGGCCGCAGTTTACTTCTCAGGTTTGGAAGACCTGTCATGCTGTGGGGTGCTCCTCCAGCTTATCGTCGGGGTATCATCCGCAGACCAACGGCCAGACTGAGCGGGCCAACCAGGACTTGGAGGCTGCCCTTCGCTGTGTTACTGCTCGCCACCCAGTTTCCTGGTCTTCTCATCTCCCCTGGATTGAGTACTCCCACAACACCCTGGTGTCATCTGCAACCGGTATGTCCCCGTTTATGGCTGCTAACAGCTTTCAACCTCTTTTCCCGAGCCAGGAGGCTCGAGTTGCAGTACCTTCCATCCAACTACATCTTCAGCGAGCCCGACGTGTCTGGCACGGGGTTCGTGCAGCCCTTTCACGGACTGCGGCACGTAACCGTCAACTTGCTGACCGTCAACGTTCACCTGCTCCTGAATACAAACCGGGTCAGAAGGTTTGGCTGTCTACTCGGGACCTTCCCCTGCAAACCGATTCTCGGAAGTTGTCCCCCAGGTTTATTGGTCCGTACGAGATAGACAAGGTCATTAATCCGGTGGTTGTCCGGCTCAAGCTGCCTCCTTCCGTGAATGTGCATCCTGCTTTTCATGTTTCTCTATTGAAGCCGTTTCTGTCTAGTCCACTTAGCCCTCCGGCCGAGCCCCCGCCGCCCGCCCGGCTCGTCGATGGTCATGCTGCCTTCACTGTCCGCCGCTTGTTGGATGTTCGGCGGCGCGGTCGTGGGTTCCAGTATTTGGTTGACTGGGAGGGATATGGCCCGGAGGACCGTTCCTGGGTTTCCCGCTCTCTCATTTTGGACCGGGGCCTCCTCCGGGACTTTTATGTTCGCTTCCCTTCGAAGCCCGGTGGTCCGCCGGGTGGCGTCCGTTGAGGGGGGGTACTGTGAGGGTTGTGTTGCTCTGTTTCTTCCCCCCTCCCTTTTTGTTTTTCTGCAGAGCTTGTGGTGATGGGGGTGTGGCTGGACGGTGCAGCAGACACACCTGCAGCCAATTTACACCTGGCTTCTTAAGCCCAGTTTGGACTGCTCTTCCGTGCCAGATAATTCCGTCACACACGGTAGTGTCCTCGTGCGCCTGTTCCTGTGATTATTTCGCTTTTTTACTCATACAATTTTTTCCCAGATCCTTGGTTGCTGCACCTCCAAGTCTCCAGCCAGCGCCTCTGTCACCTCAGCCTGCCTACAGTTTGTTCTTTCTACTTTTGTTTTGGACTGTAAATAAATTTTTGTTCTTCGTCAGCCTGTTTCAACTCTGCTTTGGGGTCC